TGGTGAAGCCCTTCTGAGACAAACCGGAGCGAGGCACTTTTTAGAAACAATTTGGGTCTTTTTATACTCCTCAACGTGGCCAAAATCATACTGACACATTTTTACTATCATACGATATGGAAACATTGGTTTTAATGTGCTTATGTTACAGTTCACTAGTCTGGCATGCTGAATAAATTCACAAATCAACCAAAAACTGGAGAAATATGTAACATCTGAGCTAAATCACACACGAAGCATACTATTAATATATATTTTTTAACAGCATACAGAATTCGTCTGAAATTAAAAATTGGATTATTTAAAAAAATGCTAAGAATTTCGGATGAGGAGAGATGAAATAAACAGAGAGAGAAGGTAAAAAAAAAAACACTTTTCAGTGGCTAAAGTTGATAAAAATGAAGAGCTACTGTGGAGCCATCTGGTTCTTAGTCCTAATTCGTAGGTATCCAGCATGCATAGAAAGATTAAGGATTGCCCTGCGTTAAGCTGACAATGCAAATAATCATTAAAAAATGGGGTAAAAAAATCTTCTAGGCGAAAATCGGAAATCCAAACGTGGCCTCAAAATTAGGCTTTCATGGGCAAAATGTCCAATCATTAAAAAAAATGCTTGCTTGCTTGCTTTATTTATTCATTTATTTATTTATAACCCATTAGTAGGCTAAATTTATTTAAAAACAAAACAAAACAAAAGATCATCATCATGTTCTAATAAAAATGTGACTAAAATGTGACTAAATTAAAAATGATTATTAAAATATATTAATATTTAAATCATGTATTATGCAAAATAAAATATATTAGCTTTATATTATGAAATAATATATTGTATATAAATCCCGCGCTACTCTCCATTGGAAATGAATGACTGAATGACCGGTCTGTCGCTTGTCGGAGATAGTGGAAAGCTGGCTTCAAACGCAGTGGAAACGCCAGTATGATGAGGATAGTTTTCATTTTAAAACAGAAACGCATGAAAGTAAATGTAGCCTTACATCTAAGATAACCCCTTAGGTATCGAAATTTGGTACCGAACGACGAGACGTTTTTCGATACTCGATGGTATCGGAACAATTCGGTCGGTGCCTAAAAAGTATCGAACTCGATACCCAGCCCTAAGTATATATAGTATATATCTATTAATTTTATTATGTGTTATATATATAATTAATAGATATATACTAGATATCTAGATAAAAATATGATTAAAATATGACTAAAAAAATTAAAAATTTAAAATAAATAATTAATTACTTAAATAATAATAACTTAAAATATAAATATTAGCTTTACAATTATAAAACACTATATTTTAAATAATATAGTATACATCTATTTAATTTTTTAATCCATTATTGGGCAACATTCATTGTTTTTTTTTGACAAAAAAACAAAACAAAACCATTGTGTGTTAGAATCTCCCCAGCACAAAACAAAACAAAAAACAAAACAAAACAAAACCTATCTTGTGTTGGAATCTCCCCGACATCAAGCAAAAAACAAAACAAAAAAACATTTTATGTTGTAATCTCCCCGGCATCAAAACAAAATAAAACAAAACAAAACAAAACAAAAAACATTTGTCCTAAGCATTACTATTCCTAATGCATGAGGCCAGTTCACTGCATGAGAAGACAGTAAAAGAAAGAATTAAAGATAAATATAGTGGTCTCCAGAATTTAGCTCTATTTCCCAATTCTTACAAGCATTTTACTGAAAGCTGGAATCTAATATTCACACGCCAAAGAGCATTTGTTCTGTTTACTCATAACAAATTATGTTTTATTTACGCATAACAAATTATGTTATGTTTCTCTGAAGGATAGAAGAGAGAGGGGGAATGTAACTGCTGGTGCCATGACCGGAGTTGAAGAATAATAAATAGAGACAGAAAGAGGGAGGAAAAGACAACACTAAGAAGTGCACTATGAAGAAGGGCAAGTCTAATTAGGGTCTTGTTTTAGTTGCCGTCTCTCAGATAACACAGAAAGCTTCCTGAGGCATTATAAATGCTGCAAACACTGACCTACATTCAGTCGTACGACATCTCTGCCTCCCCAGGGAGGCCTTCAGAAGTTGTTTATGCTGATCCAGAGTCAGTCGCTATACAAAAAGGTGAGATCTGAGATCATTTTCATACTCAGTTCTACACAGGAAATTAAAAAAAAATAAAATAAATAAAAACAATGTATTTTTCATCAAAATGTTATTAATTGCTGAAATCCCTCAGCTAAATCCCTCCCTTCCAACTTTCACATTTCATAATCCAATCAGTTCCTGATAAGAGTGAAAAATTTAAGGGGGTCTGAATACTTTGCGTACCCACTGTATATGCATATGCATTTCTCTTTTAAGAAACCTCCTATATGATGCCGTTTTCAATGTATAATTTAAATAATGTATTAAATAATAAATAAATAATTGGTAAATCTATTATCTGAGAGTATAAAATGTGCTTTCAATTGTTTATGTAACAATATAAGATAAAAAATTATAAAGAATAAAGTTATTTTATAGCAATTATTATTAAATATATAAATACAATTATTTGCAATATATGTTCCAGGCCAGTAAACGTATATTTCAGTTCTAATAAAAATTTGACATGATTGCACACAAAATATCAATCCACTGCATTCACTGGACAAAATATATTTAATTAAATATATTAAATATATTAGCTATTTTATAATTAAATGTATAATTATTATTTTATAATTATAAAATATTATATATTAAATAAATAATCTGTTTATGTCAAGATAACAACTGCTGTTGGATAGCACTAATGCTTTTAATGTTTAAAAGTAAATCGAATAACAATTCATTTTAATGATCCCTGCAGTCACATAAACGATGTTATCATTGATGTTGCAGCGACAATAATTGTACAATCCGTCATTGTTACAAAACGACAACACAAGATGATTCATAAACTCAGCTTCATGCGCATAATTCATCAGTCGTTCACCTGAACAGCCATTTTAAACTCCACTTCCTTAAATAAACTCACCCCTCCATTTTATAAATTCTTTAAGCTCGTTATGTTTAATTATTCATGCCTCAGAGGAGGCCCGTTCCCGCAGTGCAGCGCAGCGCAGCACATCCGTCTCCATTCCCGAGTCACAGAGACAATGACATATTTATCCAATAACACTGCGGTTACAGACGCAAATTTGCTCAGAGTTTGTTATTTGTTGTCTGAAGGGAAAGAAAGAGTAATGCATGCGCTGAAGAATTCGTGGACGTATTGTTATGATGTTTCCTTCAAGCTGGAAGGGAAAGACGAGCAAAAAGAGCTTCGGCCAGAATCTTTGTGTGTATAGAGAAAACGACAGTTAAAGTTCTGACGCCGATGCTTTTCTACACTCAAACCCCAAAAACAAACAAATGAAACTCCTGGAGGAGACGGAGCAGCACAAATGTGTTAAATATGGGAAAAGAAATAAATATTTAAGAAAAAAGACTATTTACTAACAATATGTTTGTCTGTCTGTTTATTTGTTTATATGTTTGTTCATTTATCAGTCTACTCACCTGTCTATCTGTTTATCTTTTTATCTTTCTGTCCATCTGTTGGTTTTTGTGTATCTGTTCATTTATCTATATATCAGTTTGTTTATTTGCTCATTTATGTTACACCCATCTATCTGTTTATTGTTGTCTGTTTATCTGCCCATTTGCTTTTCTGTCTATCTGTTTTTCAATGTATTAATTTGTTTGTTTGTCTATTTGTTTATTTATCTATCTACACCTGTCAGTCTGTTTGTTTGTCTATCTTTCCATCTATCTGTTTGTTTATCTATTTATCTTGTTTTATCGATCTGCTCATTTATCTATATATCAGTGTAATTTATCTATCTATCTGTCCATTCTTTATCTAACTTTCTCTGTTTATCTATCAGTTTGTTTTTCTATCTGTTCATTTATCCAAATATCAATTTGTTTATTTGTTCATTCATCTATCTACCTATCTATCTATCTATCTATCTATCTGTCTGTCTGTCTGTCTGTCTGTCTATCTATAATCTGACTCTATCTATCTATCT